GAAGGGTTGGAATTTTGGAGGAAAACAGCGAACAACAAAAAAACCCCAACGAAACCCCTAAAAACTCAACACAAGCCAAACACACACATAAAGGAACCAAAACCACGCACTTACGTAAGAGAGCCACAAAGTCACGCCAGAGAGGATGCATGTCCCATCACAGGGAAGGTGACCAAAGCGAAGGTGGCAGTGAGCGGCACGTTCCCAGCTTTTGGCATCACGGTTCCAAGCGGTTACGTCTGCTCAGGACCAAACGCGGGACCATGAATTGTATTTTCCATCTGGAAAAAAGGAGACAACCAGCAAAACCCATAGAAGAAGCACCATCTCAGCAGCTCCATCAGCAAACGTCTTCTGTGTGTTTGAAATGATCTGTAGGAAGTGATGATGTGAGCTGGGTCTGTGGGACACTGGAGGAGATGCCCTTGGAAACCTTCCCTTGCCTGGCTGCAGCGAAGGGTCCTCACTGGCCCCCACGCTTCTCCCGAAACTTGCCAGCCACCTGGTGACTTGCTGGGGGCGTGGGGGGTGCTTGGTCCTGAGCCCTCCCATCCCCGGGGAGCTTAGCTGTGGGCTGATGTCCGTTGCTGACCCAGAGCCCAGCGCTGGTCACAGGTGAGCCGCTGTGAGTCCATCTGGAGAGGGGGGTGATGGCATTTCCCCACCTCCCCGGTGTGCTTGTGCCCCCCAGCCCGTGGGAGGTGCAGGGGGGAGGCTTCTGCCATCCCACGCCCGGGGAAGGCAGAGGTTCCCTGGGGACTTCCCGGGAGGATGCAGAAAATCGCCTCCTCTCCTGTCTTCCTCTTTTCCCTCCCACCGCTAGTCCTCTTTAGCGGTTTTCTCCTGCAGCCCGTCACATGTTCTCTTAACACACACACACACACACACACACACACAAAAAAAAACATTAAGGAAAGAAAAAACATTGTAATAATAATAATAATTATAATAATAGAGGATGCTGGCACAGGTGGGTTCCCTGTGCAAAGCAGCAGACCCGTGGCAACCCCTATCTCTCTCTTCGGAGATGCGCAAGCGGTTTTTAAATTGCATGGACGTTCAAGTTGCACGAAAGGCGAATGACTACAAGTAACTCAGGCGCTTTTTTCTCCTTTTATTTTGGAGGCCACGTTAAAAAAAAAAAAAAGGAAAAGAAAGAAGAAAAAACAATAATAATAAAAAAAAAAGATAAAAGGAAAGGACCTGTAGTTGCTGGGCAACTTTGGCTCGGTGGGGAGGTAACAGGTCCTCTGAGAGCCACCCTGCTTGGCACGCGTGTACCCCCAAAACTGGCTGTCTGGAGGCTTGTGCCCCCCAAATGCACTGTAGTTTTGCAGTGGGTTCGGTGCCGTCGGCTTTTCCCTTTGCTTCAGGAGGTGAGGAGGGCCAGCCGGGGGGCGAGAGGGGCGAAGGGCCCCCGTGTCCCTGCGGCAGGGGGGAAACATGGTTGGGGGGCAGCAGGCGGAGGTCCCAGCCCCACGGTGCCGGGGTGGCAGGGGTGGGGAGCAGGGGCAGAGGATGCTTTGGTCACACATGTAGGTTTGGAGTGGGGGGAACGGTCATTGCTGAGCCCTCTGCTGCAAATATCCCCCCGAGAGCCTTTGGGGAGAAGTTTTCAGTGCAAAGTGGCCCAGATAGTGTATTGGGGGCAAAAACTACAAACATAGCACTTGCAGCCCCCCCCGAAAGCTCGCCTCCCGTGGACCGCCTTTGCCTTGATAGCTATAATATATATACAAGCTATACTGACGAAATACTGTAAGCTAACGAAATTTTAAGGAGGAAAAACAGGTTAAATTTACACTCCGAAAACCTCCGCCCCCTTCCCCTGCCCCGGGGAAACACCTGCACGTTAAAAGAAAATCCAGAGCAAGGAAAAATACGGATGGGGGAAGAGGCGTGGGGTGTCTTCCTCCCCCCCACCCCATGTTGGGACGGCGTGCGTGTGACCGGCGTGCATGTGCGTGTGCGTGTGTGTGTGTGCGTGGGGGAGCGAGCGGTGTGGGCGCCCGGAGGCTGTACTGATGTACTGAAGCGAGCGTGTAAGGATGCGTAGCGGGGAGTTGGTTGCGAGACGGTGGCAGGACGGGGGGCTCCCCGGGAGGAGGGGGGAGCCTTTTCCCCCTCCCCAGCTCCCTGGCCGCCTGGATGCGGAGACCTTTTTGTTTTTGACGTTTCCAAAAAGCGATTCCCTCCTTCTGCGAAATTCAAGCGAGATGAGAGACGATCTCACCCGTAATTTCCTCACCCTGCCGTTCACCGATTAGAGAAAACACTGTGTTTATAGATATATAAAGATATATTTTTGAAAGCCTCTATTTTTCAGACTTGGTTTTCTCACTGCTAAGAAAAGAGATGATAATAATGTAATTTTATTTTAATCTGCTGCCTCGGAAACCAGTGCTTGAAACTCCCATTCCTCTTTCTCTCCCCGTACAAACAAAGCAGATCTGAGCACCCCAGAGATGTCGCGTAGAAGCTGACCCCAGCAGATACCTTCCAATAGCATCACGCCAGCTTCAGGCCCTGAGCCGCCCACGGCTTCCCCACTAACCCACTAGCTGAAGATTTAGACCATATCCAAATCTCGAACACTAACAAAATCGTCCGGTGATTATATTATTTTTTTAACACAGAGCTAATCACCTTCCAATGATGTAGCCGGGTGTTTGTCAGCTCCCTTTAAAGGCACTTTTTTCTTTTTTTCCCTTTTATCTCCTTTTTTAAGTTACATTTTTAGGTGTAACTACCCTTTCTGTCCCCGGGAGAGACCGTCAGACGGCGTTGAGGATCACCCAACTCCTGGGGCTGGTGGGGACCTATTGTTGATATTTTTTTCCTTACGAAAGGAACAGAAAAGACTCTTTTGGGTTTTTTTTTTCTTTGTTTTTTAAATGCAGTCATGGTATTTGAGATTCAAGCTTGCCGAGTTAAGCCCAGCATATGTTTCGTTGTAATCACACTGCCGTTGTCAGCAGCCGGATGGTATCTCTCTCTCTCTCTCTCTCACACACACACACAAACACATCCCTCCTTCCTGCACAAAGAACTGCATATATTCTTGCCAAAGATATCCTTAAAAACGCACTTTTCCCCACATATATATATTTTTTTTTTCCGCGTGTGTAAATTTATTGTACGTGCCCGTTTTGTGTCAGTTTGTGCTTCAGAGAAACCCCTTCTCACCCGTCCTCCCTTTGCTGTCGATGTTGCTGTCTGTTGGGAAATGCTCCCCAGGGGCTTTCGTTTGCTGCCTGTCCCAAATGTGCAAAACACGGGGTTCCCGATCAACGGGGCTGCCTCCTGCTCTGCCCCTCTCAGGAGCTATTCTGGGGGATGATGCGTGATGGATGCTGATGGGATGCACCCATCTCATGGTCTTTGCCAGCCCCTCTGTCGCCAGTGGAGATGGGGGGTTAAGCGGATAAATCGAGCAAAGTGTGAGTTTGCTCTGGATGCAACAGTTGTTGGCTGCCCCCTGGTCAAACCACACATGGAAAACAAAACCAGGTAGGGAGAAAAACCCAACCCAGCCTCCGGGCATCGGTTTTCCAGCGAGCGAGTTCAACTGACTGAACTGAAGCGCAAAGTAAATGCCCACCCAGCAGGTCGGGCAGGTAAAGAAACCAGTTGCCCCAAAAACCCCAGACAGCAGCATCAACAAAAGGCAACCCTTCCCGTTGGAGCAGGCAGGAGGATCAGACAGCAAAGGAGCCCGCAGGGGCTTGTTTCATTTCGTTCGTTTGTTTTGCAAATTGCGAGGTTGGTTTGGGGTTACTCTTTTTTTTTCTTTTCTTTTCTTTTCTTTTCCTTAAAAAGGAAAAAAAAAAAAAAAGAAAAAAAGGAAGCAACCCAACGATTCTGTTGGCAGATCGTGTGCCGCTGTGTTATGCGTGGGGTTTTTTTTGTTTGTTGTTGTTGTTGTCTTTGTTACTTTGGGAACGTTACAGATTTATTTGCTAATCAGTGTTAATGAACAGTTTCAAACTTTTAGACTCGCCCATTTCTGTGTATTTATATAGATGGAAAAAAAATACATTATATTTTGTATCTTTGTGCCCATAATGTCGCGTGTGTAAGGATGACTTCGGTCGCACCATGTCCGTGTGTGAATGTGACTCCACTGTTGTCTTCCCGTTGTACAGATGTCGGATTCTTTGCAGTTCATTGTATGGCTTTATAAAGTGGTAAAAACAACAAAAAAAAATCAGTTATATAAAATATACTGTTGCTTGGAATGCCAGCTTGGTGTCTGGATCGCTGGAAATGTATCTTGAAATTTAAGGGAGCGCAGGAATAAATGCTCTGTTCTTTTTGCACAGGGGAAAAAAAAAAGCCAACAACCTAAACCCCAGCGGGTGGTGTGTTTTCTCCGGGCTGTCGTTCCCCCTCGTTCCTCGACGGCAGATTGGGGCCCCCAGACAAACGCTGGGCGGTGGGCGTGGGAAGAAGGAGGGGTTGTGCTGCTGCTTGTCAGCCTCCAGCCGCAGCTTGTGTTCACCAGATGCTCACTAACCAGACAGCCCCAAAACTTCCTACATGGCTCCAACTTCAGCTTGGGCTTTTTTGGTTTTTGTTTTTTTGGTTTTTTTTGTTTTTTTTTTTACCAGGAGGGATCTCTCCGGCTTGCCCTGCAGACACTGGGTGCTCTTCAAATTCCGCTTCTTTCTCCCAGGCTGCTTTTAAGTGCCGTCTGCTCAACCCTGGACATCCCCTTTGAGTCCATCTCCCACAGGGGAGCAGGATAGGATGATGCTGGTACAGGGTCTTTTGCCTTTGTGAAGGTCTGTTCCCATTAAATCCCACTCCCTGCCCCTTTTGGAGCCATCCTGCTCCTCTGTGCCTGGCAAAACTCCCCGCTCCGAAGTCTCAGGCCTGGCTTTTCCAGCATTCACGCAGCAATTCCCAGCATCCGTCAAAGCCCTCAGCCCCCGGCTCTCTGGCTCCGCTCCTTCCCCT